ATAATGCAAAAAAAAAGCAGTACATAAGAACAGGATAACTATCATACTCTACATATGAATGAGAACAGTTGTTTATTACAATTGACGAATAGGTAAATTTTCAGTAGCTATCTTCAAGCATGGATAATTATACGTCTGTAGAGAGCCAAGTGACAATAATGTGAGAAGCTCTTATTGTATCACCGATCAGCTTTTGTCATGTGCGAATTTGTTCATGTCACAGAAGTAACTGTAAAACTCTCAGCATGGTTTCTTGCTTGCTGCTTCAATTATGCAAATTTTTCTCTTATTTTTAGAAATGATCCTACTTCAACACGATTTTCTTAATGATTTTTTTAAATTTTATACAAAAAATTTCCTTTTTTCGCTTGACTAACAGTGAATAGAGTTATTTTACCACTATTTTCTTCCTTTCTATGATGCAATCATCTATGCTTTTATTTAGATAAAAAAAACTAGCATTTGTTCAATACAATTGAATTACTCTCATCATTATCGATGATGACTGTTGTTATACTGAATGATCTACATTAAAAATTCTAGCAACTTCTTTTTTTAAACATTGAACATTTTCTTGTTTTCCAAGATGATTCTACAATGAGATCCATTCACTTTCATGCTTTGTTGTCACATCTCACATGCTTTACAAATAAATGAAATTTGTTCATCAATGCATAAGAGAATTGAGAAATTCGATTTTTTTGTCCCTGTTCGAGTTCCTTCTTCTAATCTATCTAAATAAGAATGTAGAATAATAAAAGAATTTTTTTCTCAAACAGCCACGCATCTATTTGAACAAAGGGTATATAATGTCTCAGTATTGTAACGTTCATGCAAGACTAGTGTTGTCACCAGCCCACACGTTTTCATCATCCCAACATGTATGCGTTCAGATTTGATCATTTACCTATTCGTCAATTGTAATAAACAACTGTTCTCATTCATATGTAGAGTATGATAGTTATCCTGTTCTTATGTACTGCTTTTTTTTTGCATTATGTGTTTCCATTTCATTCAACGAGAATATACTAGGCAAACTAGTGCATTTCTGCTCCTTTCTTCTATATCAATGTGTTTTACATCCTCAGTTAAGCGCTCTTTTTCTGCTTTACAATTTTCTTTTATGAATATTTCCTTCTTACACAGTATGTAGAAAGACAATGGAGCTATCATGCACTGCACATCTACAAGAAAAATTGCTTTTTACAACTTACCAAGAGGTAAGTGATCAACTCTGATCAAATATATGTTGCGATGATGAAAACGTGCGGGTTGATGACAACATCGATCCGCCAGAGCAACATTCTTCTATTCATGAAAGAGGCAAGCGAATGAGAAGTGAACTATTCATCAAGTAGTTTCAGAAGAACACCACTTCATGTATTAGCCTCTTTCTTCAAACAACAAGAATTATCCTGCATAAATATATATGACTATACAGCTGGTTCAAGTCTAGCAGATTTTCGTCTACAAATCATGAACTTAAACGTATTCAAATATTGATATGGAATCAAAATGTACCTTTATTAGTTTAAGAAACAAAATACAGGTACTAAAGCATATCTGTTTTTTGACACAAATGAGGGAATAATAATGCAAGAGATTGCCTTAATCGGGAAACCTCGCTTATTCATATGCCGGACGAAGTGTCCAAATAATACAGCACAACTTTCTCACATCTATTTTCATCTTGTTTATTGAAAGTGTTGCTCTTGTAGGTTTGTGTCATCTGTCAAGTAATTCGCTTTCGTCATCACAACTTATATGTGATCCGAGGCGATTATTTACCTTCTGGTAAATTTCTAGAAAGCAATTGACTACAGTGATATGTGAAAATGTACATTTGATATTTCAACAAAGGAAATAGAGGTATGAAATAAAACATTATTATTTTCATATAGATGATTGAGTAAGGAAACAAGACATTTTTAACTGGTAAACTGCAGTTTCTTATGCACACTCATTCTATGAATAATTAGAATATGTGAGTTAGCCAAATCCTTTCAGTTCATTGATTGAAGGAGTTGCTTCGGCAGGTTGACGTTTTACCATCAACCAGCTGGTTTTCGTCATCGCAACTTGCAAGTGATCAGAGTTTTTTTTTTTTTTTATTCTATTTATTTAAAATATATGCTGACACAATAATAAAGAAAGAGTTAAACCGTCACATGAGCTTTCACGTGCAAAACAAAAACAAAAACAAAAATTGGAGATTCTTGACTAGAAGTTGGACGTGTTTTGTTGTATTGCACTGTAATTACCTGGAATGGCTTCGAAGACTGTTCGAGAAGCTGGTAAAATGATTACTCAAGTCACCCATTATCATAAGACATATCTTTAAGATATGCATTGAATGTCTTAACACATCCAAATATCGGCTCACAATTGACTCTGACGTATGAGAACGTACGAAAACGCCATATCACGTTTAAATAATTTCCGACTAAATATGTAATTTGCCTCTGTTTAATTCGCGATGGAATATCTGAAATGATCTTTAGATAAATAATTGTATCGTCTTCTCTTGATATGAATAAACCAGATATTCTTCTGACATGTTCCATTAACAACAAGTAAACCTCATTGAAAAAGCGACATGTAATAAATAAGTGTGATGTTGTTTCTGGTAAATCGCAAAAGTAACATCTTTTTTCTTCATCATTTCTACCTAAACGAGCACGTGTATTAATTCCATAATGTGCCAACAAAAACCAAAATTCTATTGCAGCTGAAGATAGTCCACAATTATGAATGATCTTAAAGAAAGGAGAGTTTTCCAAATGTGTATTTCGTTGATAACAAATGGATTGTTGGAATAGTCGACGATATATCAAATGCCAATAGATCGTTTGTTCACTATTGTTGATTAATGTATGGCCTCCTTCTTTAAGCCATTTACCGGTGTGAACGGCGACGTCACCAAAGAAGTATATTTTATCGTCAAAATGTGGCACTAAGTTGGACCAAATCCATGGTGCATACGGACGTATTGCTATACCACAATATTGATAAGCATAGAACTTCCATACTCTTGGTACGGGATCAATCATTTTTAAGCCACATTTAATTCGAAATGAACTAATCATTGCATTGAGATGTATTAAACCAACACCACCGTCACTTCTCTTACCTATACAAGTTTTGAATTTAACAGTAGGTCGTTTTTGCTTCCAAAGATAATTATTGATCTCTTTTTGTAAATTATCAACTATATTGTTTGATACTAACATTAACGAAAATATATAAACGAATCGGCTACATATAAAAGCCTTCAGGATCGTTGCACGTTCAAATAATGATGATTCAATGTTTGACCATATACCAATTTGTCTTCTCACATTTGATACAATTTTAGTTAATTCTGAAGATGAAAATTTCCCTGTTGTATCTATTGGTACGCCAAGAAAATCACCCCAATTTCGGTTCACTTTTGATTCAAAAGGTGGTGGATCTAGCCAATCGGAGCACCAAAGGATTAAAGTTTTATCTTCGTTTGTTTTTCCACCAGATGCTTTATTATATAATTGAAACGTGGCTTTTGTTGAACATTCGTCATCCACACTAAACACAATGGTAGTGACATCATCTGCATACGCAGATAATTTGATTGTAGTGTTGGCAGAAGGACCATTAAATATTGATTTAATAACAGCAGGATATTGTCCACCGGGAGGTATAACACCTGGAATTCGTGGATTACGCCTAATGTTGTGTAGTAATGGTTCTAAACAAATTACAAATAGATTACCTGATAATGAACAACCTTGACGAACACCGGATTTAAAAGGTATTGAGTCACTAATAGCATTATTAATTTTTATTCTAAACGTTGCATTTGTATATAATAACTTGATCCAACTGATAAAATCCCTACCAAAGCCAAAACGTCTAAGTAATTCTACAAGATAATCATGATTAATACGGTCAAAAGCTTTTTCTTGGTCCCATTGCACTACACCAATTGGTTCATGATTTCTTGAATAACATTCAATAATCGACCGGATAGTATGAACATTATCATGAATTGTCCGACCGGGTATACCACATGTTTGATTATGATGAATAATGTTGTGCAAGACTTTTCTGAGACGTACACTTAAAACCTTGGACAATATTTTATAGTCGATATTCATCAATGATAATGGTCGGAAGTTCGTCATTGATCCATTACTATTACCATCCTTTTTTAATAATATAAGTAATGCATTAAGAAAACCATTGTAGAACTGTTCTTGGAGTTTTGCCAAACTGATCATACAGACATAATATTCTCCTATAATTGGAAAAAACTCATTTCCAGACTTCGATCGGAATACCGTCATCACCTGGTGAACGGCCCAAAGGCATCACTTTCAATGCTTCATGACATTCTGAAACAGTTATATCACGATCGAGTGCTTCTCTATCATGATCATTTAATGTAGCAATATCCTTGAATAATTCATTCCAATGAGTTGTATCT